AACTTATTAATTAGTTTTAATTGGCATTTAATCGGATTAGATTAGCATAAGACCCTAATCACCCCCCTCCCCCCTCTAGGGTGTAACATCTTGATCTGATTGTATCCGGAGAATCCGTCCATAAAAGACATCCTTTCATATCCGCAGGTGTTGTCGATCATAACATCTGTGATAGGAAGTGGGAACTCGTCCTTTGGACAGGCTGCGTTAAGGTCACGAAAGTCGATGCATATACGGACCTTACCGTTTTTCTTAGGCACTGGGACAATGTTGGCCTGGGTGTTGTTCTTCCCTCACAAAACCTGAGTCTATAAGCTTTTTAACTTCTGACTCAATTGATTCCATGATCTCTGGACGAAACCTGCGTTGTTGTTGTTTAACGGGTTTTACGTCCGGATCAATGTTGAGACGGTGCATGGCAACCTTCGGGTCAAGGCCGGGCATATCTTCATAGTTCCAAGCGAAGACATCTATATATTCTCGGATGAGAGATATAAGGTCTTCTTTTTCGGATGATGACAAGTCTTCAGCTATGAATATGGGCTTAGGATCATGTTCATCTCCCATGTTGACCTGGATTACTTTATCTTCAGTGGGCGGTTCGCGTTGTTCGAAACGCATATCCCACAGGATATTAAGACGCTTGATCCAAGGATCATCGGTCGATTCCAATAATTCCTCGTCACCCCCTGCGTCTTCATCTGGATAACTAGTTGAAACCATGTTCACAGTCAAGTTTTTAAAGAAGGGTACAACGCTGACGTCGGACTCGTATGACGATATTCCGGATGATTGGTCATGACGTAAGTAATTACTGATTTCGTTTTCCGAGGCGGGGGGAAGCGTGACGTAACCCACGCCCCTTCCGGTTTTTTGATAATAATCCGGAGGTTTTCCTTCAGGAGTGAGAGACATCTGGATCGGTGTTCGTCTTCCCTTCCCGAAGTTCAGGCCCTGTTTCTCATTAAAATTATACCCCATTCGTTTCATTAAGTATTTAGAATTGGGTTCATGGTAATGGAATTGGGGGACCCCATCGTCTTCTTCCGAACTTTCACGTTGGAGTGGTTCGGGTTTGACTTTACCAAAACAGATCGGCTTCTGCCCTCTCCTTTTGGATGGGACTTTGAAGAAAGCCTTCTGTGCGTCCTCCACTTCTTCATCCGAAGCGAAAGATGACTGGATTGGTAAGGTGAGTGACGCCTCGGTGCACAGTACGTGCCATGGGTTGGTACCTGCACTAGAATCATTCTCTATTTGTTTATTGTTAAGAGAGACATCAGACAAGTACGCTAAAATGAAATCTTCATTAATGCACCACTCGCCCCCACTCGGTACATCATTATTACTCTCACCCTGACCCATTACATCAAAGTTTAACTCCCAAGGACAATCTTCATCGGGGTCTGGCTCGATGTCAGCTTCATTACCGCTGTCCACATCTTCTTTCTCTTGGGATTCCAAATAGAAGACGGAGTCGGTGTGGAAGTTTTCTACTCCTCGGAAGGGGTATTTCTCTGCGATCAAGGTTCTGACTTCGCCCTTGTCATTGGCGTACTTCATAACCTGATGCAAAGTAGATGGGACAATGCGGTTTGCATGTATCCATGGTCGTCCTAGCAAAAGGTTGTAGGACGTGTCCGCATCTATGATGTAGCATGCTACCTCAGACTTGAGATCTCCGATCTGGCATCTGAGTTTAATCTTTCCCAGGGGTCGGGTACTGTTTGCATTGAACCCGAAGATTGTAGTCTGGGTGGTGTGCAGCCGGTGCATGGGAATCCCTAGGACCTGCATGACCCTGTATTACTTGAGTAATGAAGCTCTCCGTATTCTTCAAAGCTTCAATTAGAGCTTCCTTGGTGGATCTGGACAACCTTAGGAGCTCGTATAAAGTAATTCTGGCCGGTATGTTGGCCAACTGCGCCATGACGTTGAATTGGAAGGGAGCGCTCGACTCTCCGGATTCTTAGTGGAGATTTTTGTTGAATCGGAGCTCCTTCTGCTTTCCTTTGTCAACTGGCTTTTTCGGGGAAGAACCCCCAGCGTCTTAGGGCTGTTCTTCAGCTTCTGGAGCGTTCTGGCCGTAATCCCTCAAGTAAGCTTTTCCTGACCGAGTGCCAGGATTGCCTTCTGGGTATGCTGCTAGGACAATCCTCTCCTCTTCTGAATCGGTAAGAGGTTTGAGGTGGTCATCATTTTCAGTAATGGAGGGGCTAATCATGTTAGAAGACTTAGCCTTGCCTCCCCTCTTTCCAGACGAGGTGCTCGTCCACTGTTGATCTCCTAGCAGGTCAGGGTGGACCCACATGATTTCTCCTTTTGGGGTAGTGAGGGGCACCAACCCCCTGTCCTTCTGACTATGCGGGTCAGCATTCTTCAGACGCATTTCTCCCTTGCGAATGGGGACGACGTCGTTCGCCGTTACTACCGGGGAAAAGTCACTGAATTGGACCGCTATCATATTAGTTGATACGGTCTTCTGCTCCGGCTTCAAGGTGAGTACATTAGCATTCACCAAATTCTGCAAGATGTCTTTGAAGACATAGCACTTTTTGGTAGGATGTCCAAGGAATCTGTGATAACGACAATAGTTGGGGTCATCCACTTTCCCTGCTTCATCCGGCTTCCTGATCTCAGGCAATTGCAGCTTGTTGTTCTTTCGAAACAATTGGAATAAGGTATCCACATGCTCCTCTTTGAACGAATACTGCTTGGGCGTTCTTTGCTGATTTGGCGCCATGCCTTGCTTATTCGGCGGTGGTACCCGCGTGTAATCAGCTGCCAAAGTCTCCTTTCCCTTAGACCGCTGGGCATTTTGCTGATTGCGTTGCTACTGCGGCTTGGGTTGTGGCACTTCTTCAGCTTTGACTCGCGCCACTATCTCTTCAGCTTGTTCTCCTTGTGAAACTAGTTGTCTCCAGGAGCGACATTCTGCCACCCCCATTTGAGCAAGGAGCTGGGTCTGCAGGTTGTGCCTGCAAGTTTCAACCAGAGTTGATTGGGTCATACCTGAGGGGCATCGCAATGCCATGCTGCGGAATCTCTCCACATAGGTTTTGATGGACTCTCCTTTCCTTTGCTTAGTGGCAAGAAGAGTTGGGACCGAGACCTCCGTGTCGTCCTCAAAGAATCTGGCCAAGAATAGCCTTTCCAGGTCTACCCATTTCTGAATAGATCCGGCAGGCAATTTCATGAACCATTCGAAGACGACACCCTTAAGGGTACCAATAAACAGCCTGGTCAGGATGGCATCGTTTGCCACTACATCCCCGGTTTGGGATTTGAAGTAGTAAATGTGCTGATTCGGCGATCCTGTACCATCGAACGGTTG